CTCTCGCTGTGTGTGTGTGTGTGTGTGTGTGTGTGTGTGTGTCTGTGTGTGTGTGTGTGTGTGCGTGTGCGTGTGCAATTTCACGGCAGGTTAACCAGTGCATTGAAACAAAATAGCTGCGAAAGGGACTAGTGGTTTAAGTCTCAGAGGTAGGTGGATTGGGAATTTGGTATGCACTCTATGATCTTCTTTCTTTTCTTCCCTCCCTTCCTTGCTAGAAGGCGGTATCCCCTAACATTATTGCATACGTCTGACTCCATCAGGATTTGAACTTGTGATCTGTTTTATGACCAGTTCCGTTTGTGTACCATCCAGCCGCATGGGCTCATCATTGCCCTTCTCTGTGGTCTTAAGCTAAAAGTAAAGGCTTGTGTTTTGGATGTAACTACAGTGTGACGAGCGGAAAGAGGGATTTTGAACCCTCAGCAGGGAGCAACTCTTGTTTGTGGGTATGATATTTGGTTGGTATATGATAGACACAACTTGACACAAACATAATTGGCATGCATCGTTGCTGTGCAGGTCTCCTCGATGGGTCAGTTCAATGAGAAATGGCTGCAGTTTCTACAGCAGTGCTTCAGTAAAGGGAAATGTTTGCGGGAAGGGAGGGAGGTACCCTTGGGAGTTGGGAAGATGTCCTTGGTATGGCCGACGGTTGAGGACGTGCGCAACTCCTTGGAGGTAGGTATCTTTATTTCACCATCTCTTCTCCGGCCTTTAGGCCCGCCTTTTTTTTTTTTTTTAAGGCTCGCCTTTCGTGATCCATTGTTTTGGTGGTAAAATTGGAATATAATCATTCTGATCGTTCAATGTCCGTTCTCTCTCCTGGTATATGGGATAGTAATTGATGGAGGGTGCCAACATGTCTAGGGTCTAACATCGTCGTATCCCACTGTCATGCACTCTGCGTCATTCATGTGTCATTATCCAATCCCGAAACCAAAAATTCCGTGAAAAGAGTAGACAGAAGGAAACCCAGGCATTCCCTCTCAAACACATGCCTGTATTGCAATTCCGAAGACCCTTTTTGTTTATTGTACAGTAATTCCAAAGACCTAAAAACTAGTAACAACTTCCTAACAAGCCCATTTTGCCAATGGTGGCAAAGATTAAATAAGAGATGACAAATGTGTGAGGATTGAGCCCTCAAGTAGGGGCCTTGCCATGATGTACATGTTCTGGGCTAAGGCCCCAGCAAGCCTCGTGCCTGCCCTAAGTGAAGGCG